TCAAAAGGAGTCATAGCACGTCTAGTAAGGCTTTCAACCTGAGTTATAGTATAAGCTGCTTGTATCCCATAAGTAGCCACAGATTCTTTCAACCTCTGAATTACTTTCCAGTCCAGGGGTTCATGATATCTTTGATTGTTCTGATCATCAAACACTGGAAAAGCTCCATAACTAGACACGAGATGGCGCCATATGCCCGCATTAAGTGTGCGACGGCTCCCCTCTAAGGAGGGCATGGCTTCCGGACAGTCTCTGTCCCATGGAGGAGCACTAGGCTCAACCTTTTCCTTTTTCCTTTTCTTTTTATTGTCAGTAATTCTCAGCTGTTCCATAATGCTGTCTAAATCCTCAGAATCATATCCTTCCTCCTCTACTTCAGAAGAAGCACAACACGCACTAAGTTGAGACGCTTCCTCTCTTGCTTCTTCTAAAGCCTGAGCTCCTTGAGCTATATCTGCCTCATACTTCCCTGTTTTATCCGCTAAACATGTCCGTACCAAAGTCCAAATAGCTAGAGTACCTCTAGGGAGGGGTTTTTTCGCATCTTTGTCTGATAACTCTTTTCCTAATCGCTCCCAAGAGGCAACAGCTACAGACCCCTCCTCAAGAAACAACGGGACCTCTGCTGCGAAGGTATCCAAGAATTTTTCCACCGTCTCAGCCTTTAACTTAATCCTGCCACGCCTTAAAAGCTGCACTAGCGCAATGTGCACTTTCGCTTTCGAGCCGCCAGTACCCATTTTCTCTGAGTTGCTTCACCTCGTCCCTTTTAGGGAGCCTCAACCTCGTCCCTTTCAGGGAACCTCAACCTCGTCCCTTTCAGGGAACCTCAACCTCGTCCCTTTCAGGGAACCTCAACCTCGTCCCTTTCAGGGAACCTCAACCTCGTCCCTTTCAGGGAACCTCAACCTCGTCCCTTTCAGGGAACCTCAACCTCGTCCCTTTCAGGGAACCTCAACCTCGTCCCTTTCAGGGAACCTCAACCTCGTCCCTTTCAGGGAACCTCAACCTCGTCCCTTTCAGGGAACCTCAACCTCGTCCCTTTCAGGGAACCTC